CATGGTGACTCCACAGCCCAGCACTGCTCAGTATGTATGTGTACTCTAGATACCATTTACAAAGAATCCACATGCTAATTAGCACCTCATTGCAACTGGAACTGAGTATTCTTGTTACAAGTCCTGCAGATGAGGCACAGGGATGCCTAAGGCTCACCCTCCACCCTACACATAGTCCCCCACCTTTCCCCCTCACAGACTAACAGTCCAGACGCTGCTCTCCAAGCTGCAGGACTGCACTTCTGGCCCCATGCATGCTGCCACTGTGCACATGCACGCAGCATTTATCGGAGACATTATTGGCCACATCAGCCAAAAAAAGCCAGTTGCTGATAATGTCAATTTTCCTTTTGTTGTTGCTGATACGATATGGACAGATGAATTTTAGTTATGTCCTCTTTCCTTTCTGTGAATCTGTAGCACTGGCCAGAATCCTTGACAGATCTCCAATGCTGGCAGGCTCTTTCAGAAGGATTCAAGTGACTTGAAAAATCAGACTTAATGTGATCTCAGTTATCTTCTGTCTTCATAAAGTGTTCTCCAGATAGACTTAAAAATTGCTGTGATTGGAGGAAGATGACATGGTGGTTGAAATGCTGTTTCTTGCTAGTTCTTTGTCTCCACAGGTACTTTTGCTACAGCAACAGCAGGACAATTTGTGGGAAAGGACTGAGTAAATAGCAGTTCTAAATTCTGTTCTGTTGCCCTGAATTGCCTTTCTCAGGATTGTCGCTGCTTGCTAGCTGCCTATATGGGACATCTGCAAAACTAATGTTTTTAGAGGAAAGAGTTACTAGCTAATATGTATACTTTAATTAAAATCATAAAAAGTAGGGCTGGAAGAGACACCTAGAGGTCGTCTATTTACTCTAGCTCCATGCTTGAGGCAGGATAGTCTCTGTCCAAACCAATTAATACAGGTCCTGGTCTAACCTATTCATAAAACTACACAATGAGCCCTGTTGCACAAGTAAGGTATATTGCCCAAAGACAACACAAGCACTCTAACCTGCCACAGGCAAGGAAGGGAGACAATGGTGGTCAGTGTCATGCTGCTGCAAGAGCTGATAAAATTTACCAGAGAGTTGTAAGGAAGAAGGCCATACTTGCTCCCTCCCCTAATATGGAGGAAAGCCACCCCCCTCAGCCCCTAATCTGTACCAGTCTGACCATGGGGTAAAATAGTATCTTCTTTACTGAACCACCCTGATCCTCTGCTAAAGATTAGATTTAGAGAGGAATTGGTGGGAGGGGAGTAGCAAATTGAGGCTTCAGTCATCTAAGACCGATGCTAAGGGATTTGTGCATACCCTATATATGAGCTTTCACTTGAATGGATTGGAATGGGTTCTGTTGTTGACAGCAGGCCATGCAGTATGCATGTAAACAGGCCATCTCATGAAGACAACAAGTTATTGATAAATGATCTTTCTTTTCCTATTAAATTTCCTATGTAACTTTTGTTACTGTGCATCTGGATTGTAAACAAAATACATGAGATAACACTGGATTGTAAGTTGTGTACATACAATTACAGAAGATAATGAATAATTTTGAGTTGAGAGTCATGTATATTGGAAATAATGTATGAAATCAACCAAATTACTTTTCTAAAAGTCATCGTCAACTGTAGTACAAAAGCATTGTAATCAAATAACCATTGTGTTTTATTTTAGACTCTAACTGCTCTTGCAAAATTAATGAAGGAATGTTGGTATCAGAATCCCTCAGCACGACTTACAGCTTTACGCATCAAAAAGACTTTAGGAAAAGTCAACAATTCACAAGAAAAAGTAAAAGAAGATTACTAGTAGACTTATTTTGTATATGAATTTATCAGAGAACAGATGACTGAAATCTGCTGGACAGGATACATAAAAAGATCATGCATCATGATGAGAGTAACCTTATCCCACGCAACAATTATGCACTGACTACTGATGTTCAAATATACTTTATATCTCTGTTCTGGCATTTTCACTGGGAAGTTTAATACCGCTAATGTTTTTATAAGAAACACTAATGCTAGTTAATACATTTGTGTAATCTTTTGTGCATATTTTAGATTTAATTTTTATGATTTATCATGCTGTTATTCTAAATCACAGTTCATAAAGAGGGAAAGGAAAGTAGACAAAGTGGGATTTTTAATTGCCTGTGCAGTTTTTAAAATGTATGTTTGAGGTTCTATTCGTCCATTCATTTGTGAAAAGATATGTGTGAACCAATACAAAAGCTCCGAAGTCTACTATAATATTCAAATCCAATGATTTCAGTGGCTGAAATATAAGCAGCCTTAAAGCTGGGAAATCACTTTTTAAAATATGGTGGTAAAAATAGATCTCATTAAAGCATTCAAATACTTCAAAGGGCCAAGTACCAGGATATGTGTCTTTTAGTATGGGATATGTGCTTTATTTTCCTAAAATGGAGTGGGTATCAGGCTGAAGTACTTTTCCCCCCATGATTGATTTTAACCTTTTGGCCAACTGATAGAATGAGGGCAAAGGCCAAACTGACCTCCTCTGTTAAAATTCAATTGTGCTTGAATTTCAGTCGAAAAGCAATCAGGTAGA